AAATTTTCAAATTGTATATTTAGCTGACTTTTTTCCTCCTAAGTACAACCTATTTTAATTGAACTTGTCCCTACTAAATACTGAATTTTAGAAACTGATGTTGTAAATAATAATGAAAATAATATCTATGACTTATCCAATCCCAACCCCACTAGGCAGATACTACTGACCTTATTTTACAAGTGAGAAAATAAAAATAAACGTCACCCATCCTTTGATATGTTAGGCACAGGAAGAGGAAGGAGCTAGTCACTAAATGCTAATAATGTCAGACTGAAAGTCACTAAAACAATGGTATAATGCTGTAAAAGAGAATATGAAAAACATTTAAGATGACTACCAAAACAAAGAGATACTAGATATTTGTTAAACGTCTCTTAAGAAACAGTATGAGTCTTAATTGGGAAGACATACAAGACAAGCTAGTTAATGTAGACCTCTTATAAAATGCTGCATCATCATTAACTGGTTATAATCCAAGCACCACTGGAAGACAGACACTCAGGAGGGGATTAGGATCAGAATTCCTAAACAGACTACAATTGCTTACATGATCAGTCATCCAAGAGACATTCTGGTAGATCTTACCCAAAGCTGCTTAACAAGACTAGCCCAAGAGCTGAAGAAATAACTCAGGCTGAATTGTTTGTAGGAGCAGGTACATTTAGAGAAGAGGAATTAGGTGATGCCCTCTGAAGGGGCATACGAGAATGAGGACATGAAGGGATGACACCCAAGATGAAAATATGCTAAACAAACAAACCAAAAAAAACAAGGGGGGATCACAGCTAGTTCTAGGTTTGGCAAATCTAGTACCATTCTACAAATCTGATGGTGTTCTTAAGATAAAATCAACCATCTTCTTTTTTTTTTTTCTTTTTTTGTTTTGGCTGCGTTGGATTTTCATTGCTGTGCGCAAGCTTTCTCTATTTGCGGCAAGTGGGAGCTACTCTTCGTTGCGGTACGCGGGCTTCTCGTTGCAGTGGCTTCTCTTTGCAGAGCATGGGCTCTAGGCGTGTAGGCTTCAGTAGTTGCAGCATGCAGGCTCGGTAGTTGTGGCTCGCGGGCTCTAGAGTGCAGGCTCAGTAGTTGTGGCATACAGGTTTAGTTGCTCCGCGGCATGTGGGATCTTCCCGGACCAGGGCTCGAACCCGTGTCCCCTGCACTGGCAGGCGGATTCTTAACCACTGCGCCACCAGGGAAGTCTCCTTAGCTGGCTTTAGAGTTAGGGTACCAAAGTGATTTCATAAGAAATCAGCTTGGAACCCAAGTAGTTCTCCAGCTATGGAAGTAGTTGGATGAGACACTTGCAAACAGTCTTCCCTTCACTTCTTGGTGTGAGTTGTATGAAAATGGAATTTGAAAATTCAGAGTAGGCAAAAGGTGGGATTAAGACAAAGTTCCACTAGGTTAACGAGAAGGTGGGGCACTGACAACAGTGTGTAGAAGCAACAACTGAAGAAAATCAGTTAAGTTCCAAGATGTTACTCATGGTACCCTGGCAGCTCTAAACCAATCAGTGTGACAACAGTCTCTTCTTCTCACCTGGAACAGTGGGCAGGGGTGGGAGGGTTCTTTTTTTCTGGCTGCCCCATGTGGCGTGTGGGATCTTAGTTCCCTGACTAGGGATCAAACCTGTGCCCCCTGCAGTAGAAGCGTGCAGTTTTAACCACTGGACCGCCAGGGAAGTCCCAAGGGGAGGTTTTTCTTTAACTGTCAATCAGCACATTAAAGAGAAAAATTCCTGAGTGTTTATTACATGTAAAACACTGTGTTATGAACATGTGCAGTGCAGACATGATTAGTGGCCTTAAAGAGAGGTCTTCCAATCCTTAATGTGCCTTCATCTCCCACATAACATGTTGTGTACAAGATAACCCTTGTCCTATTGCTCACATAGAATGGTTCTTTTTTAAAAAAAAAAAAAGATAACAAGAAAGCTGCCAGGCTCGAGGGTTTTATCACTGTTAACTAACTGTACTCCTCCCGGCTCTACAGTCACATCAGTTTGCACTGCTCAGTACTGAATAGGTTCTTGTCCTACTCAGATCATTAAGCCAGGCTTTCCGAGGGCACTCAGGCAAACAGATCTATGAGGTGAGTTTCCATGAGAACTGAATAAATGCACTGTCTACTATCATTTTCATACAGATATCATGGTGACAATCACCAATGGCAAAAATAATACATTTGCACAATACTTTAGAGTGAACTGTCATATATATTCCCTAATCCTAACAATAGGTATTACTGCCCTTAGCATTATTTTCACCATTTTACAGATGATAAAAATTAAGGCTCAATTGTATGGATGTACTATATTTAACCAGATCTGCATTGATAAGTATCTTGGCTATATTTAAGGGGAATGCTTTTGTAGGGTTGTCATTGCTATTGTTGTTTGTGAGTACAAAACACTGCTGCGATGCAAATGCCTGTAATTTTGTTTTACATATTTCTGAACATGTACCTCCAAGAAGAGCTGGGTCAAATTGTATGTTTTTAAATGTTAACAAGTGTTCTTTAAATGTTGATTTAAAAAAATTAAGGCTGGGGATTTCCCTGGTGGTCCAGTGGTTAAGACTCTACCTTCTAATGCAGAGGGTGAGGGTTACATCCCTGCTCAGGGAGCTAAGATCTCACATGCCTAGAGGCCAAAAACCCAAAACATGAAACAGAGGCAATACTGTAACAAATTCAATAAAGACTTAAAAAAAAAAAAAGACATTACTTCTGTTTCGGTCCTGATTAAAAAAAAAAAAAATTAAGGCTCAGAGAGTTCTCATCTGAGGTCGTGCTTAAAACAGAACAGGACTGAGTCTCAGGTCTATAGACCCCTATATTTCATTCTACTCTGCCCAAACTTTTTTTTTATAGTTTCAAAAATGAAGCATTTACACCTGCAGACTTACCAAGCAGCCAGCTCTCTTTGTGCATCCCAGCTTCAAACTGACTGCTGAGAGAAGACTGCTGTAGCACAGCACAGTCCTGGAAGCTCCCCGGCCAGTTTGTCTCCACAGTCATCAGTGCCCCTCTGATGTCACACACCATGAGGCAGTTTAAAGAATGAAGACCTTTGCGGTTCACATAGGAAAGGTCTTCAGCATTTGGTGCCTTGATTGCCACATGGATACAGTCAACCACCCCTATGACCCCTGGCATCCCTGCCAACCCATAGAATTCATCCTTCAGAGCCTGCACGGAGGCTTCATCAGCTGGAAAGCGGATGAACTGCGAAGCTCTTTCCACAAGCGCTTCAGTGACATTGGCAACACATCGACTCATAGATGCCTGACTGATTCCAATAGCATCTCCCATCCGAGTCTGGAAGGAACCTGAGGTATAGAAGCCCAGTGCTGCAAGGATCTGTGTCTCTGGGCTAATAGCTCTGGATCTCTGAGTAGGTCTAGAAAGACTGGCCCCCAAGAGCTCCACCAAGTAATAAATGAACTGTCGAGGAAACCCATACATGGACATCAAGTATTCATCTGTCACATCATCCAGCTTAAAGCGGTCCAATGTGCGGTGACCTCGGCCATATAGCAAGAGATCACAGTCAAGTACTGTTATTGGTATAGCCATGGTACATGTAACTGTTGTCTCTCCTTCCCTCTGCTACTTTTCCTGAACTCTTCCCACTGAAGATGTTGGTGCAAGAAGGTATTTAAGGAAGTGTCAGAATTCAACAGCTAACCATCATTTAAATGGCTCTGGCATTTATAATCTTCTCTCTGTAAAGGTTAAAGAAAAAAACAAAAAACATTAGAAACCTACCAAAGACTTTAAAGTGATTCAGGGGCTTCCCTGGCGGTCCAGTGGTTAAGACTTCGCCTTCCAAGGCAGGGGGTGCGGGTTTGATCCCTGGTGGAGGAGCTAAGATCCGACATGCCTTGCGGCCAAAAAACCAAAAACATTAAAAAAACAAAAACAAAAACCAGAAGCAGTATTGTAACAAATTCAATAAAGATCTTAAAAATCATCCACATCAGGGCTTCCCTGGTGACGCAGTGGTTGAGGGTCCACCTGCAGATGCAGGGGACGCGGGTTCGTGCCCCTGTCTGGGAAGATCCCGCATGCGGCGGAGCGGCTGGGCCCGTGAGCCATGGCCGCTGAGCCTGCGCGTCCGGAGCCTGTGCTCCGCAGCGGGAGAGGCCACAACAGTGAGAGGCCTGCGTACCAAAAAAAAAAAAAAGAAGAAAAAAAGAAAAAAAAAGGTGCTATAACTGTAACTCGGTTTTCTCCACTAACTCATGGCAATACAACAGGCTTGATTTGGTTTGAAGGAGAATGGGAGCTGAATTTTGGTGGCTCATTTAATGCCTGGCATTTGCATTGGGAAGAACAAAAGATTAATGGAGGTGATGGCATAATTACCCACAAAGTAAAAGAGGTCTGCTCCTAACTATACAGGCCACGAAGCAGCTGACGTAAGTCATAGCTACCCAGGACAGGGATTAGTCACGGCAGGATTCATTACCCAAAGCCCTCTGGCTCCACCTGACAAGTAAGGGGTAAGAGACGGGGGCGGGGAGGGGGGAGTGTCGATGTTCAAACTAGTCTAACAGGGGAAGAAGGGGCAAAAAAACGCCCAAGACCCAGGCTGGTAGACGGAGATTCTGTGTTGTAACAAAAGCCTTTCCCCTCACCCCAAGAAATCCAAATCGTGAGGCTGAAGGCAAGGAAGTAGGGAAGTCCAGACAGGTTGGAAGGAAGGCGCAAAAGAAGAGGCTGGGAGAGCTAGGGCTGAGAGGACACTCCACCTCTAAGGCTTTTAAAAAGATGTCTTAGAAATGGATACGGAAGTGTGATTGCCCCGGCCACTCAAAGTCAGCCGAGGCCACTCACCCACCTCTCGGCGGCTGGCAGATTACCAGCCGCACTTCCCACCCACCCAGCCGGGTCCGGCCCTCCTCCGGAACCGGCGGCCGAGCACAAGCCGCCACGGCGCTCTCTGTAGGCACCGCCCTCTCGCGTCACTGCCCGCCCCAAGCCGTGTCCTCACTGCAGCTGCCGCCGCGACCTGCGATTCGCCAGCGCACATTCTACACACGGCCCAAAGGTTCACGCTCTTTCAAAGACCGCCTTTTTACGCCTTTGTTTTCTGAGACGCTTGAAGAGATTGGTGAATCAGACTTACATGGTAAGGAAACCAGTTTTTATGGGAACGTCAAAGAGGAAAGAGATTAAGTAGGTCATCCATACTGTGACGAAAGTGCGGCTGAGGTTAGATAGCTGTATTTCCCCCATAGCCCTCTTCCTCCCACCGCCGTCACCGAAGCGGATGAAAACAAACAGTAACGATGGCGGCGCCGGGAAGCGACCGGCTGCTGGGGTGAAGGCAGGAGTGATCACTTGAGCTGTGAGGGAAGCCCTGAAGAGCGCCTGTAGACGTGAGTGCGACAACTCGCGCAGTCTTGGGAACGAAACTCCCGGGGCCTGCGAGCCACGAGGCTCCTGAGGCGTGAGGTATTATCTGCGACCCGTGCTGTCAGTGCAGCTCCGGAGCGCGGAGCTCTCAGCCAGGAGGCGCAGCTGGCCGGCCCCAGGCCCCGGCCTCCGTAATGAGAGCCCCGAGCCACTCTCTGTGTCGCAACTTCACAGGTACTAACTTTAGGGGGGATACCCCCCGGATCTCTCAGCGCCCCCGGGTGGGAGGCTGTGGACCTGCGGCCTGCGGCCTGCGGCCTGTCGGGTACGCCCTGGCGAAGCCGAAGCCTGTTAGCTGTAGGTCAGTCCCCTAAGCTTTCTTTGGGAAGTCGGGTTACTGTAGGCTTCATTGGCCCTTGATCATTCCCAGTCCTTACAGAGATGCCCAGAGCTTTCGACTCTGCTTTCTCAGCCCTTTGGGTTAAGTCGTAAGGCTTTTTGGAAGGAATTTGTGGGCCCATAACTCTGTGGTTGGGTACCAGTATGAATGAGATAGGTTTTCATTCAATCAAGATTTGTTGAGTGCCAAATATGTACTCCGCGTGTAGGTGAGGGTGACTGTTGACTAGTGCAAAAAGGGACCCAAGGTTCACGACTCTCTTACTGGCAGTGGAATGACCTGTGGAAACCTGCGATCCATTCTCATTAAGTAAATCTCTGGGTAAGTGGCTAAGCACCTTCTTGGATTCATCACTAACTCATCTCAGTTTTCACTTTCTCAGCCAGTTATTTACCAAGTTTTTCTGGTCAATTCAGTGTAGCGTTTCACTTTTAGTATTCCTTCCTCTCTGGCCATCCCACAGCCAGAGAGAGGGGTGGAGGGCGGGGGAATGGATGTGAATGAACGAATATTTAAAGAACAAAAGTGCCTATGTTTTCATTACACTTACTTTAAAAGTCATCTTCTAAGGTGGTAGAATTTATTGAACACCTTCAATGGGAGATGTGCAATAATAAGAAACAACAGGTCCTTTATACTAAATTAACTCCAGGTTATTGTGTGTTGTTTTATGTGTTAGTCCTTTCATGTGTGGATATCGTGGCTCCAATTAAATTATGTGTTTTTGTTTGTTTCTTTCAACTCCATTTTTCAGCCGAGCAGAAGTCTTGTAAGTGCTTGTGGAAGGGAATCCTGAGTTCATATTTTTCATACCTAGGGGATGAAGCAAATGTCATATGTATTGATCTGTGTAGTAAAATGCATGTAGTTAATTCTCCTACTGTTTTCAAATTGTACCCCTTTGCGTTGGAAGTTAAGACGGCTATGGCAACTTTTGAGATTTACATTTCATAAAAATTGCTATTTCTTTACTTACACCTAACAGTTCTTATTATTTGTATTTTTTTTTCCCTCAAGTGGAAACTGCAGATCAAAAACTGCAGATCTTCAGCTACTAAATACTCCAAATTATATTGTTTTATTTAAGGACTAAAAATCAGCTGGACACAATTCAGCCCTGCCATATACGCGTACTGGAACTGTACCACGTGGAGGTGGGGGCAAGAAATCTTTTTTTTTCCATTGTCTTTCCTGCTTGCATCCACCCAGCTGCATCAGCTTATGACCTCCATGACTCAGAGCAGGGTGTCCATAGCCTAAATGCAAAAAGAAGCCTAAGACATTAACATTGAGCTTCCAAAGACATGAGTCCTACTACATGAGTGAGTTTTCAAAGATAATTTTGACTAATCAGAAAGTGCAACCACTATAGAACTTATTGCTGTCACTTGATAAGGTTCATTACCAAAGCTCTGCAATTACATTTTGTTCCATTGGGAGTGGAAGTTATTTATTTTGGAATTTTTATCTGGAGGGAACTTATTTAATCTTAGTAATGCTTGGAAATCCCTAAAACTTTTACTTTTTAAACACTTTTTACATTATTATAGAAGAGATGAAAATGACATTCATAACACTGTGGTTGGAGCACTGCATTCCTCACTCTGTGACCCTTTATTATTCAACGTAAGGTTTTTTTTATTTTGTTTTGTTTTGTTTTTTCCGGTACGCGGGCCCCTCAGTGTTGTGGCCTCTCCTGTTACGGAGCACAGGCTCCAGACGCGCAGGCTCAGCGGCCATGGCTTACTAGCCCAGCCGCTCCGCGGCATGTGGGATCTTCCCGGACCGGGGCACGAACCCGTGTCCCCTGCATCGGCAGGCAGACTCTCAACCACTGTGCCACCAGGGAAGCCCACTTTCTTTTTTCTTCCTCTTGCCCCCCTCCCTCCCAAGTGAGTGTATATCTGCTTTCTTCTTTATTTTCAGACTTTCTTTGTAACTCTTTTGGTAGAAGACTATTTCAGTTGTTTAAACTTTTCCATTCTGTTTCTCATTTGTCTACAAAGAACTTTCTAAATGGAAAAAAAGATCTTTATGATTTACTAATTCTGATGCCTAGAAAGTGGGGAAATTACAGTTTTGATCTCTTTACCCTTGAACTTGTACCTAACTGGGTTTTTTTTGTGGGGGGGGGGTTGTTTTATGGCTGCACCACCCAACTTTCGGGATCTCAGTTCCTGATAAGGGATTGAACCCGTGCCCCCTGCAGTGGAATCACAGAGTCCTAACCATTGGACCGCCGGGAACTCCCTTAACTGTTTTTTCTTATTAACTGTTCCTGATTTGCCATACTGAGCTTTTAAGCCTGAATCCAGAACATTTAAAAACTGTTAAAGGGCTTCCCTGGTGGCGCAGTGCTTGAGAGTCCGCCTGCCGATGCAGGGGACGCGGGTTCG